CAGGAGGCTTCCCTGAGGCCCACGAAGGCAAAAAACAGAGCATGCAGCAAAGCAGTAAGACAGCAAGAGGGATCCTGGCACATCTGATTGTCGGAACAGCTGATCGTCGGGAGGAAAAATAAAAGAAATACCTTAAAGAGTGACTGGGCAGGGGAGAATGCAGTCAGAAATGACAGGCATGCACACGGTGTTGCGCATGCGCGATAAGGACTGACTGGGAGGGGAGGGGAGGGGCGGGCAGAGAGAGGCAGGGCCAGCCAGGGGCACAATTTGCCAGTTCTCTGAACTGCACAGAATCATAACAACCGGTTCTATAGAACTGGTCCGAACTGGTGGAATCCCCCACTGCTTCTGAAGTGTTGGCTATTCCTTCCAGCTTAATGTTATCTGCAAATTTGATGAGTTCTCCTTTATCCCCTTACCTAAATCATTTATGAAGATGTACTGGGCCTAATACAGAACCTTGGGGAGCTCCCCTGCTTACTTCCCTCCATGTAACTATAGTTCCATTAAGGACTACATGTTGTGTGCGATTTGTCAGCCAGTTATAAATCCATTTGTTGGTGATGCAGTCTATTTCACATGTTTCTAACTTAGCAAGAAGTAAGTTGTGATCTTTGTCAAATGCTTTATTGAAGTCCAAGTATACTATGCCAATTGCATTTTGCTGGTCCACTAATTTAGTCCCTTTGTCAAAGAATGAAATAAGGTTTGTTTGACATGATCTGTTTTTGACAAACCCATGTTGACTACTGGTTATAACTTTTCTGCTTGTAGTTGTTTGTAGACCTGTTGCTTGCTTATCTTTTCTAGGATCTTCCCATGTATTGATGTCAGGCTGATTAGTCTATAGTTTCCTGGATCTGTTTTTCCCTTTCTTGAGATGGGAACCACATCAGCTATTTTCCAGTCTTCTGGTATTTCTCCAGTTCCCAAAATCTTAGAAAGTTCTGTTTAGTAGTTCTGATTTTGCTTCTGCTAATTTCCAGTCTACACAAAGGAAAATCTGTCACAATTCAATAGGGTTACTTCAAGTAACATACAATTTTCATGTGTATAAATATATCATCTTGCAATATTTATGTATTTATATTTTATGCTAAGAAAAATTTTCAGTATAATTAATTACAATGTATTTTGGTATGATGTCAAAATATAACTATACTATTAGTTTTTGCATAAGAGTTTAAAAGATTTTTTATTCCCTATTTTTCATAGGCTGCTGCCTTTACATCTGATGTAATGGAAACTTTAGGGAAGCCCGGGCATTATACACTTTTTGCACCTACTAATGAAGCTTTTGAGAAACTTCCACGTGGAATCTTGGAAAGAATAATGAGAGACAAGGTGGCTTCTGAAGGTATTACAGTAACTTTACTCAAAATTACTTGATAATTAAATTACCAAAAGTAAAAATACAATGCTAAAACACATGTCATACCTATCACACAATGCATATTTTATTAATAACTATTCATTTGCTATAAATCAGAATATGTAAAGCTCCATATTGAGTTGTTCAGTTTTGGATGCATGTTATACTGGAATCAGTTCATAGAATTCTGGAGTTGGAAGTGATCACAAGTATAATCTAATCCAACCCTTCTAATGTGCAGGAAAACTAATTAAACCATACTAGAGATGTGGTTTACCCATCTCATGTAAAGCACCTCCAAAGATAACAAGGCCACAAGCTTCCTTAGTAAATAATCAAGACGGTTTTCTTTTTATGGAAAATGGAGAGTTTTAAAAAGGGACTGGACAGCCATTTGTCTGAAATGATATAGGGTTTCCTGCTAGAACAGGGGGTTGGACTTGAAGACTTCCAAGGTCCCCTCCAACTCTATTATTCTGTTATAAATAAAATGTTGGTAGATTCCATTATTTTTAAAACTGATTTTTTTGTGGCAAGGAAAAATAATTCCTTTTTTTTTTGAAAATTTTATTTGGATTTTCACAAAAACAAAATACAAATAAAACATCTTTTTTTGAAAATAGCATGGTCCCAGGTTATCACTTCTTCATACAGACACAAATTCAATTTCATGCTCATTTTTATGTTCTATTCCATATCTTATTACTGTTTTATGTTTTCTACATAGTTTTTCCCCTCTTTTAATTTTCTCAACTTTATTTTAATTATCTCATCTCAATTCAAATCATTATATTTATACTTTTGTCTGTCCTGTTGCAATTTCATATTATCTTTTCTCATTAAACAAATTTTCTCCTGTAGTTACTAATTGGAGTACGACACCTTTATATCTTTTAATTTTATCCATTCAAACTCTTATTTAAGCTTCAATGTATACTTTTAAAATTATAGCATTCAATATAATACATAACTTCCAATCGAATTCTGCTTGGTACATTCTTAAAATACACACTATATTCTTAAAAAGAAAAGATTATATATATATGTAAATAAATCACACATTCCATTCCAATTCAATTCTATCATTAATATTCATTAAAATCTTAACATCTTTAACATTTCTTTTCAATTAAATATCATACTTCCTTGGGAACACTTATAAACTTTCCATAATTAATTCTTTTTTTTCATATTTCTCACTTATATTTTTATAAATAATTAATAATAATTAAAATGCTCCCATCCTTTCCTAATTTAATTATCTCATTCACTTTAATTCATTTATTTATTAACAAACATTCCACTACATTACAGTGAATATTTTATCCATCATTTTAGTCATATTTTCTAAAATTATTTCTATTTGTAATATAACAATGCTATCTTATGTACCTTTGCAGAATCCCTTTTACAATTAAATTTTCACCCATTATCTCTAAGCAGGCTTATGGTTTCAATCCTTATATCTTTTCCCTGTTTCTCTATATCTTGTTTCTGTCTTTTACAACTTCTTTTCCTTACCTTCTTCCCCCTCTTCTTCTCCCTTCCCTTTTTACCCCCTCGTCTCTCTACTTCTAATTCTCTCATCTGTAATCCCCTCTTCTGTTGCTTTCTAATATTATACTTATCTTTCAAACTCTTCTTCTTTTTGGTTGTTTTTTCTAGTCTTAAACTTTTCACTCTCTTTTCCCCCTTTCCTTTTCCCCCCCACTTAAAATAATTTGATCATTAAAGATGGCTTCTTCTTTGTCCCGATCTTCTTGTTCTGCAAGCGTTTCTTGTTGTTTCTCATAGCTCCAGATCTCCATATCTAAGAATTGAAATACGAAGCCAAAAGAACCTCTCCCTTCTTGTGCATCTTCTTTCCATTTTTTAAGTTCCATTTTCAGTTCTTCTAAGAGTGATGCCATTTTAAACACTTTTAAACAACCACCCGATTAGTTTTAGTCATTTAGATGCAAAAACCAAAAATCACCGAGTAATCCAAATAATCCAGGGCTGTTTCTTCTTGCTTCTTTTTTCCACTTTCTCTTCCTGGGGTTCTATTATTTTGTTGCCAAGTTTCAGTTAGGATGTATCTTAGGGGAATCCTGTTAAAGTTTCACTGTACATTCCTTTTAGTTACAGTTCCATTCCTTAGTTCCAGGCAGTCTCCTCCATTTTTCCAGATCCTACCCTTTTATTCTTTTTTTTTCTCCTTTCCTGCTTTTAAAAACTTTTAAATATCCAGAAATCTTTATTATCCCTTTGACTTTTATTTTCAGCTTAAATGCCTATTAATGTCAAAGTGGATTTTTTTTTCAATTTCTTGCTTAAGTCTCTTAGCTGTCAGTATATAAAAGGGAAGAAAAAAAAACTAATCCTTTCCCTTTTTTCTCTCCTTCGCTGCTTCAAAATCTTCTTTGGGAATAATGGTATTTAGTTTAAATTCCAGGGTACCTTACATTATTGCTTTTTCAGTTTAACCCGGTTGACCAAAACTTTCTCTTCTTATCTTCCTCCTGCACATTCTTTTCCGGTTCAGTTCTTCTTTGAGGTGGCCATTTCTGACCACCGCTGCAACCGCCTTCGGGAAAGGGAGTAATGGCCAGCTGGGGAAGAGAGATGCAGCTCTCCTCGACCCTGCTGGCAGTCTCCCCCCTCTTCATCACCTCTATGGGGTGGCTTAGCCCCGAAGCCAGCCGGCTTGGGGCACTCCGGTGGCAAGCACAGATCGAAACCGCGCACGATCATGGATTTCGGTCTGTCGCTGAAGAGACTCAAACCGGAAGCCAAGGAAAAATAATTCCTGATCATGTTCACTGTAGCTTCTCTTTATGCATCTGAACATAGCTATCTTGTATCCCTAAATCTAAATTTCTACTGTCATCTTCCTGCCTTCAAGGATGCTGGCACTGCAAGAGGAATTTACAACGGTGTCTGATGCACTGGTTTCCCAAAACATCAGAACAGAACCTGATTGGACTACTTGCACAGGGGGGAGAGTTTTGGACATTGGGGATTGCTTTCAATATATGATTTTCACATGGTTTTCCTTCAAAGCTTGCCTCGCTCATGCTGCCCTCAGCACCTCTAATACAAGTACCTTTTCTCTAACATCTAACAATCAAGGGTCATTCTTTCCTAGGGAGCAGCCTGATGTCTACATTCCACATTCAAGTTCCTTCAGCCTGGCCTCTATTCATTTAGTCATTTATTTATTCCTCTGTTCATTTGTATTCTCCTTTGAACTTAACAACCGGACCCAAATCAATTTGGAAATGTTTTGCACAGTCCTCCATGTAGGATCTTATCAGTGCAGAATACATAGGGACAACAATTTGCAGCATATTTCCTCTTTCAATTGAAAGACTTTTTATTGCTCACTGTCCAGTTTTCTAACATGCCAGATTGCAATCTTATTTTTTTCATCATGTAAGGTTCACTGGTTAATAATTACTCTTTTTTCATTCTTGAAGGGAGAGCACTTTTGCTCTTCTCTAATCTTCTGGTACTTCCCCAATTCTCCAGGACTACTCCGAGACAATTGAAAGAGCTCCTGGCAGCTCTTCCACCAGTTATTTCAATATTCTACAGTATATTTCTTGGGAATTTGAGGTGTTCAGATTAGCTTTACTTCATTCCTACTAACTTGTAATTCCTTATTATATTCATTACTAATCTACAAAATCACATTTTTATTGGTGTAAAGTAAGTAATTCAATATTTATGCCTTTGACATTTTTTAAAAATCCTGGACAACTCACTGCAGTTTTCTTGGCAAGGATTTTTAGAAGTGGTTTGTTATTGCCTCCTTCCTTGGACTGGCCCAAGGACACCTGCTGGCTTCATGTATAAGGCAGGACTAGAACTCACAGATTCCCAGTTTATAACCTATTGCCCTAACCGGTATAGCAAACCTGTTTTGAAAGACAAGACAAAACAGGGACTGAATATGTCTGCTTCCTCCTGACCACCTATTAAGATGTGTCCATTTGGAATAAATAGTCCAAAATAAAAATCCTGTTTTCTTTGTGTTACTGATATAACTAAAGAAATCCTTCTTACTTGATTTTGCCTATCTTGCTAAGCCTTAAGCTTGCTTTTTATCTTTGTTGTCTTACCTCATTCCTACATTTCCAAGCTAAAGCTGTGTAGATTTTCTCTGTAGTCCAGGGGTATCAAACTCATGGCATCACATTGTCGTCATGTGAAACATCATGACTTTATTCCCCTTCACTAAAATGGGGTGGGCATGGCCAGCATATGACACATCTGGCCTGGGGGCTGCGAGTTTGTCACCCCTGCTCTAGTCCATCCTTCCTTCTACAATTTAGTTCCTTCATGAGCTGCCTATTCAACCATATTGGCTCCTTTGGATGACTCCTAGTTTTTGTTCTGAGAGGTGTTTTGAGGTTGTACCACCCTTAATACCTCTTTCTAGAAATCCAGCTGGCTGCATCTTTGCTTTTATGGTTTCTCACATGGCAATTGTTGTTGTTTTTTTGAAAAAGAAAGTGGCTCCCACTATCTTCTAACAACTCCTACCAGTTAGTAAGGGGGGAAAAAAATCCAAATTAACAGATCTCCCAGTGCCTAACTCAAACTTCTGAAATCATTACTAACCTATCAATAATTCATCTGATATCTTAGAACATAGAATAACAGAGTTGGAAGGGACCTTGGAAGTGATATAGTCTAACTCACTCCACAAGCAGGAGAGTTTATATCATTTCAGACAAGTGGCTATCCAGTCTCTTTTTGAAAACCTCCAGTGATGGGGCACCCACAGTTTCTGAAGACAAGGCATTCCATTGGTTGATTATTCTCACCATTAAAATTTTTCTCCTTAGTTCTAGATTGCTTCTCTCCTTGATTAGTTTCCATCCATTGGCTCTTGTTTTCTGCTGGTTTGGAAAATAAGTTGACCCCCCTCTTTTTTATGACAGCCCTTCAAATACTGGAATACTGCAATAATATCACCTCTACTCCATTTTTTCTCTAGATTAGCCATACATACCTAATTTCTGCAACTGTTCTTCATATGTTTTTTTCCTTTAGGCCCTTAATCATCTTAATTGCTCTGCTTTTCACCTTTTCCAAAGTCTCAATATATTTTTGTAATGTAAAATTGCAGCATCTCCTTTTTTTGTGTTGCTGTTTCTTTGAAACAAGCTGTAACCTTTGAAACAAGTCTAACCTATCAGATTCAAGAAAAGCTGGTCAATGGAAATGCCCATATACATTAAAGGAAAAAGGAAAATGGCATAGAAGATAAATCTGCTTACTCAGA